CGTTGGTCGTGGACTTCCCCATCCCAGGGCCCAGCTGCCCCTTGGCCCTCAGCCTCCTGGGCCCCCTTGCGCAGCCGTGTCCGGCAGGGCCCCCTCCTCCCTCGCTCCTCCTCCGGCCGGCCGTTCGGGATTCTCCGAGATTGGGCCCTGGGCAGCCACTCTTGTCTTCCTTAAACCCAGGCCTCCTCGCCGCTGCCTTTCCCACCCTAAGAGTGTGTATTGGGAACCTGATGGCAGCGTCAAAGCGGAGTTGAGCCCTGGGTTTGAACCCCCCGCCCCTCGTGGGCTGGGCTCCTTGACAGCTCGTTCCTCTGCAGTTTAGTTTAGCGGCCAGTTTTTTTTGTTTGTTTTGTGTGTGTGTGTGTGTGTGTGTGTGTGTGTGTGTGTGTGTGTGTGGTTTTGTTGTTGTTTGGCGAGACGAGGCCAGTGCCGAATAGCTCTGCAGTCGGCCCCCCACGGGGATAGGAACCAGGACAGCAGATGGTGCGGGCACAGGGGGAGGAGGGAGCGAAGGGATCTGCTTGAGGAGGGCATTTGGCGTTCGGCAGACGCGGTGAGCAAGCATGTGAGGGGGTGTGCTGTGCTGTTGGGTGACTCATCCTGTGTATTTCTAGGCTCAGAAATGGATCGCGGTGGGTAGAGGAAAACTCACAAGGGCCGAGGACCGGTAGGATGAAGGGGGTTCTCGTCCAGGCCCGGGGAATGGAACTCGGGGAGGAGGAGTCTCGCTGGGGCCTTTATGTGGTGGGACTGAGATCACAGTGCCGTTTGTCACCCGGACCAGCCGAGGCCCCGCTGCCGGGGGTGTTAGATGGTACACACACCTGCTACCCACAGGTGGTCCCGGACGTGGCTGGTGTTTTAGAACCTTCCGTTCCCACCAGAACAGTTTTCCCTCGGCCTTTTAAAAAAAAGTCTGTCTGTAAGCTATTTTTGAAATGTAGTTAGCTTTATAAACCAGACTTACTTAAAATTATCTTTTAAAAAAAAATATATTTTATTGATTTTTTTACAGAGAGGAAGGGAGAGGGATAGAGAGTTAGAAACATCGATGAGAGAGAAACATTGATCAGCTGCCTCCTGCACACCTCCTACTGGGGATGTGCCTGCAACCAAGGTACATGCCCTTGACCAGAATCGAACCTGGGACCTTCCAGTCTGTCGAGTAACACTCCCTCCACGTTCTGCGCGGAGTAGGGTTCGGTACCTGAAAGTGGAGCCGCACAACAAATGAAAGAAAAAGACACGAGATAATTTTGCAATATTGGGGGACCAGGTGGGCAAGTCCCGAAGGACTTCCTCCCTGTGCTTAGGTCTCACCAAGCTTTTATTGATCTGGGATGCACTCATAGCATAGCCCTTAGGCAGGTGACCCCATTAACAGGCAGACTAGCCCATCAGCATGGATTTACATAATAATAAATGGGAATTAAGGGAACTAAGGTGGGGATGCTTCAGCTATTATTACCTAAATTAACTGGGTGGTTCCTAGATTAACTGGGTGGTGCAGTTCTGACCTTTGCTAGGACTTCAAAGGTTACTAGCTTTTGGGGGTCTCTGTTTAAACTCAGCTAGTGAAGACAATGAATGGACTCCGGCACAGTCCACAGGCCGACGCTCTATCCACTGAGCCAAACCAGTTAGGGCAAAATTTTCTTTTTATCATAGTAAAATATATAACAAGTTGCACAAATCCTGTGTAGGGCTTGAAAAAAAACACATGCAGGTACCTACCACCCAGACCAAGAAATGGAATGTTACTGGCATTCCAAAGCTCCCCTGCGTCTTCCTCCTTCCTACAGCGGATTAGTCAAAATTTGTAAAAAGTTTTGCCTGTTTTTTATTTTGAAACATTTTTAATCTACCAATAAATTGAAAGAATGATATGAATACTCGTGTATCTCTTTTTTTTTAAAATATATTTTTATTGATTTTTTTACAGAGAGGAAGGGAGAGGAATAGAGAGTTAGAAACATCGATGAGAGAAACATCGATCAGCTGCCTCCTGCACACCTCCCACTGGGGATGTGCCCGCAACCAAGGCACATGCCCTTGGCCGGAATCGAACCTGGGACCTTTCAGTCCGCAGACCCATGCTCCATCCACTGAGCCAAACCGGTTAGGGCAGTGTATCTCTTAACATATCTTCATTTTTTAGCATTTTACATTTATCTTTCTCCTCTTCTTTATAATATACTTTCTTTTTTGTTTTGTGATGAACCATTTGAAAATAACTTGCAGATGTCACCACACTACACCTCTAAATGTTTCAGCATGCATCTCCCCCCAAAAATAAAAGGGATTTTTTTTTAAATGCATTGATTTTGTCTTTGGTGGAATCAAGTATTTTCCAAAATTAAAGTGTGATGTTACTTACATCAACCTATACACATTCTCCTACATTTTCATGTGTTAAAGTGGTTAAGCAGACCATCTTTTTCACAGCTGATTGAAAATATTAAACTTCCTATCACTTTAGGAAAAATTGTATGAAAATAAGCACTAGTCTTATATATAATAAAAGCCTAATATGCTAAGTGTCTGGTCATCTGGTCAGCCTTTCAACCAATTAAAGCGTAATGTGCTAATGATATGCTAAGGCTGCTCAACTGCTTCTATGACTGTGCACTGACCACCAGGGGGAAGACGCTCCGACTAGTAGGTGAGCTTGCTGCTGGGGTCCCACTGATCAGGACTGAGCGAGTCGGGCTGGACACGCCCTGGAGCCCTCCTGTGGCCCCTCCCTGGCTGGCCAACCTCCCACATCCCTCCCCAGCAGATCGTGCACCGGTGGGGTCCCTTGGCTTGGCCTGTGCCCTCTCACGATCTGGGACCCCTCTGGCAATGTCAGAGAGCCGGTTTCGGCCCAATCCCGCAGGCCAGGCCGAGGGACCCTACTGGTGCACAAAATTGTGCACCGGGCCTCTAGTAGTATATATAATGATGTGAAACATGCAACGTTGTTTTGGCACTCTCTTGTGTAAGCTCTTTTATTAATCTTAGTGGTTTTTACAGGAAGATTTTCACCACAGATAATCTGATTTCAATTATTTCTCAGATCACAGTATCTGTGTTAGGTAACCATGCCATATTTCATTCTCATTTTTCATTTTGGGGCTGTCTTTTAGGGCTCTGTAAAGAGACAAGCACTATATGCCTGTGGGACCTGCACCCCCAAGGGAGAAGAACCAGCAGGAATTTGCCTGGCTTGCAGTTATGAGTGTCATGGAAGTCATAAACTATTTGAGCTATATACAAAAAGGTAAAGACGGAGATTGGTGTTGAATGCTTTTTAAATGTTTAGGTTCTTTCCCAGCTGCATTTTTTTTTTATAATCTTGCTTTTCCATTCAGTGAAGCTGTGTACAGGTAAATTTATTGTAGTTGTTTTATATAATATGATTTGAGACAATAGTTTTTCCACAGGGCCTTTTAAAAGATAATTATACAAACTCAAACTACTCATCCTTCACTGCCATTAATTTATTTGTGTCTCTGGATGTGATATAAATATTTGTTTCTGCACATTAATTTCCAGAATTATTAAATCTTATTGTTAGGCAGTTGAAGAAATTCTGAATTGGATATATGAGCAGCAACCAAGGCCACTTTTTAGATCCTAGAAATGAGTTGAAAGGGAAGAGGCTATGATATGAACTTTAAACCGTCATTAGTTTTAAAAGAAAAATTAAAATTGGCTCTTTCTTTCTTTCAGAAATTTTCATTGTGATTGTGGAAACAGCAAGTTTAAAAATTTGGAATGCAAATTATTTCCTGTAAGTAAGCACTGTAACTATAAATGCATTGAAAATAGCTGAGATGGATATTCGACAGAGTGAATAAAAACCAGATATTTTCCAAAAAGAAAGTACTTATGCTTATTCTTTGCAAATGGGCAAATGAATGTTAGACTCCATTTTTTTACCCTATCAGAAAACTAAGTAACCTGTTTAGAGCCTACAGTATAGATTATAATTAATATGAAAGGTTTTGGGGAAATGTTCTTTGTAGCGATTCAGGTTAAATTATGTCGGTTGTGCTCATGCTATGCTCTAAGGCTTTTACATAATATATAATAATCCTATATAATAAAAGCGTAGTATGCAAATTGTACCCTCGACCGAGAAGTCATCCAGGAGTTCGACCAGGGTGCGGGGCCGGCTGGGGGGGGGGAAGGGAGGGAGGCCCCAGCTGGCAGCCGCTAGGGACCCTACTAGTACATGAATTTCATGCAGTGGGCCTCTAATATATATATATAATTGATTTAAGAAAGAGGAAGGGAGAGTGATAGAGAAACATCGATGAGAGACATCGATCCACTGCCTCCTGCATGCTCCCTACTGGGGATTGAACTGGCAGCGCGGGCATGTGCCCTAACCGGGAATTGAACCATGATCGCCTGGTTCATGAGCCAACACTCAACCATTGACCCACACCAGCAAGGCTGCTCTAAAGCTTTCAAAGCAAGGGGTATGACTAAAAACGGGATAAGTAAAACTTGATAATAATGAATGTGGGCTAGATGCATGCAGGAGTTTTTCATTGCATTTTGGTTAAAAACTATCTTATATAATAACTTTTAGTGAAATAACAAATGAAAGAGACTAAGGGGCCCTAGCCAGTTTGTTCAGTGGGTAGAGCGTCAGTCCACGGACTGAAGGGTCCTGGGTTCTATTCCAGTCAAGGTCATGTTCCTTGGTTGCAGGCTAGATCCCCGGCCCCAGTCAGGACCTGTGTGGGAGGCAACCAATTGATGTGTCTCTCTCACATCGATGTTTCTCTCTTTCTGTCTTTCCCCCACTCTTCCACTCTCTAAAAATCAATGGAAAAATATCCTCTGGTGAGAATTAACAACAACAAAAAAAGGGATTTTATATTATTCAATCTTAATTGCTAAAACTGTTATGATTTTCTCTCCTTAGAAGGCTATTTTTAGACAATTTTCTTGTCTGCTTTTCTTTAAAACTTAAATTCTTTATTGTTTAAAGTATTACATACATCTCATTTTTTCCCCCTCTTGTCTGCTTTTTATTTTTACATCCTGGTAACCTGGCGGCTTTGGCTATTACAGTTGCTGTTAAGAAGTAGTTTGAAATTCTAGGCCAATGTCAGTTTGCATAGGTTGATTTTTTTTTAAAGATATTTTTAACTGATTTTTAGAGATAGAGGAAGGGAGAAGGAGAGAAAATATAATGTGAGAGTGGAACATCCATTGGCTGCCTCCTGCATGCCCCCTACTGGAGATGGAGCCAGGAACCCGGCCATGTGCCTGACCTGGAATCGAACAAGCAACCCCCAGGTGCACAGGACTGTGTCCAATCAGCTGAGCCACACCGGCCAGAGCCAAAGGTTGATATTAATACTCATGATTAACTTTCATTACCATTCTATTAAATGGGTATACTCAGTTCCCACCAATTGCTACAAATATGGTACAAAAAATGATTTTTCTTTTTTCCCTGTATCCTGGAAAAAGTATCCCTTTAATAGGAGTGACTCTTTTCTTCGTATATTCAATGCAGAAATTTGTTGAATGCAGAAATGTGATGATGAATGAAATTATAGTTAAAATTAGAACATATTATATTGAAATTAATATCTTTCAGGACAAAGCAAAGATAAATTCTGGCAATAAGTATAATGACAACTTTTTTGGATTGTATTGCATTTGTAAGAGACCTTATCCTGATCCTGATGATGAGGTAAGAATTTGGGGTTAACACCTGGGACTATGTTATCTCTAGCCTTCACTCCTCAGCTTCTTGTCATATCTGGGCCTCTGGAGCTGTGCAGGTGGAATTTGGGGATCGTGAAAGGATTCTAGATTTATGTCTTGATAAATCTGGGCTGGGTCTCTAACTGTATCTTTTAAAAATTTTCCTTTTCTTGATCACAGTGCGCTTACATCTTTTCATGAGTTTATTGGAAATTTGTAATAACCTTTTTTTAAAAAAATATTTTTATTGATTTCGGAGAGGAAGGGAGAAGGAGTGAGAGATAGAAACATCAGTGATGAGAAAGAATCATTGATTGGCTGCCTCCTGCATACCCCACACTGGGGATCGAGCCCATAACTCAGGCATGTGCCCTGACTCAGAATCAAACCCAACCTCCTGGTTCATAGATCTACGCTCAACCATTGAGCCACACTGGCCGCGTGTCACATTCTGTATTGGTGAATTCATATTACTTCCCTGGGCCTGGGTTTATGTTTATGTGTAAAAAGAATACATTACTGCCGAAACCGGTTTGGCTCAGTGGATAGAGCATCGGCCTGCGGACTGAAAGATCCCAGGTTCGATTCCGGTCAAGGGCATGTACCTGGGTTGCGGGCACATCCCCAGTAGGAGATGTGCAGGAGGCAGCTGATCGATGTTTCTCTCTCATCGATGTTTCCAACTCTCTATCTCTCTCCCTTCCTCTCTGTAAAAAATCAATAAAATATATTAAAAAAAAAGAATACTTATTTGTAAAGGTTTGTGAGAATCACAAATGATGTGAAAGAGCTTTGACAGTTGCTTGCAAAGTGCTTACTACACTGTAACCCTTACGTACCATCAGTTCATGTAGAATGAACTTCTCTTTGGCCCCTTGATCTGATGTCTTTCCCTGTCTCCTTGGATATCCCTGTAGTGGTCTCACAGATTTGTTAGAGAACTAATTAGTATCTAATTCTACCCTGTGCCAGATTTACCTTCATGTCTCTGAATTCAGTGTAATCATTAACGTACAAATTGCTTTTCCATGTTAGATTCCAGATGAGATGATCCAGTGCGTAGTCTGTGAAGACTGGTTCCATGGAAGGGTAAGGAAAGCTTTTACCTTTTAAAGCCATTATCTTCCCAAAAGGAGAAAAGTTGTGTTTTCTTTTTGAATTGTGTTATATTTTACATTGTAGTTACTTTCCAAAAGTAACTATAAAGATATGATCAGTGTACTATTGCAATATTTGTTTAGGAAAATGATGGAGTATTTTGGACAACTTGGAGATCACAAGAAAAATCCAGTTTTCTGTAATTCAACAGCATCTTGGTGCCATGCCCCCCGAGAGTGGGGATTTCAGGAGATGGTGTGCCCAGGCCCTGTATGAAGCGCTGCTCTTTCTTGTGGGCTTTACGCTGCACAGTTGGCAGGTAGGTATCTCTGTGGAGTTGTACAAACCCTGTGCTTGTGAAATGTGTATGTTCAGTCCAGAATTTTTCGCAACTATTAACTGGACTCTGAGGTATAAGAAAGGTGCTTATGATTGGTTAGGAGACTACCAAGAGCAAATTTGTACTTTATTGGCCTGATGCAGAGTATAGATGAGACCAGAATTCGAGAAAATTAAGGAGGCGGTTTTGTATGTTTTTTTTTTTTTTTAATTGATTTCAGAGAGGAATGGAGAGGGAGAGATAGAAACATCAATGATGAGAGAGAATCATCAATCTGGTGCCTCCTACACGCCCCCTACTGGGGATAGGGCCTGAAACCCGGGCATGAGCCCTGACCTGGTTCATGGGTTGATACTCAACCACTGGGCCACACCAGCTGGGCAAGGAGGCGGTTTTTTAATGGAATTTTGAAAGATAAATAGAACCTAAATAAGTTGTTTTTAAATGTAAGGCCTGCTATTGGTTGTGTAGGGAGTGGTGGGAAATGTTAGCTAGTGTTTTTGTTATACACTAAAAAACTGACCCAAAACAACTAATCAGCAATGAATAGTTTTGAGGCATTAGATAATTGTATTTTTTTGGTCATGCCATATGTATTACTTTTTTTTTTTTTAAGTGGCAGTTATTCATAGGATCTGCTGCTCTGGTCTCATAATTTTTTGCCCTTCTCACCTTTAAGGAACACTTTACCTATCAACCACAAACAGCAGCCATACTTAAGATCTCATCCTACACTTTTGATTTGCCTCGAGGTTCTTAAACTTGGTGCTCCCTCCTCCTGTTCATACCCTTCTCTATCTCTAACTTTCCACTGGACCTATATATATTTCTCATTCATTGGATTTTCTTAGTTGATCTCCTTTCCACCACTTCATTTCCTTCCCTGTCAGCAGATGGCTTCATCTTCGATTAAATTGAAATGCCATCCTGTACCATGAGCTCCTTCACAGTATTTCTGCCTCTGTACCCACCCTTTTAATTTCTTCTTCATGAAAAAAAGCTGGTTGTCTTTTCAAAACGACCCTGTTAGGGGGGAAGAACGGGAACATCTGTAATATTTTCAACAAGAAGGAAGGAAGGAAGGAAGGGAGGGAGGGAGGGAGGAACTGACCATAAAAAATAAAAAACTACCCTGGTACTTGTGTTTGCAGTTAAATCTCTTCCTACTGCCTCTTGCTTCTTGAGGTATCCTGTCTCTCTTTAGCATCTGTGGAGTTTTTCTTTCTCCTTTACATATAAAGTGCTTAAGTGGTGATTATATATATATATATATATATATATATATTTTTAAAATATATTTTATTGATTTTTCACAGAGAGGAAGGGAGAGAGATAGAGAGCCAGAAACATCGATGAGAGAGAAACATCGATCAGCTGCCTCCTGCACATCTCCTACTGGGGATGTGCCCGCAACCCAGGTACATGCCCTTGACCGGAATCGAACCTGGGACCCTTCAGTCCGCAGGCCGATGCTCTATCCACAGAGCCAAACCGGTTCCGGCAAGTGGTGATTATATTTTTAAACAAACTGTTCAATTATTTGAACTCTTTGGATTGGCAGGCATAACTTTAAAAAATGTAGATGTTTTCTTTCTCATTATTTCAGAGATTAAGATTGACTCCTTTTTCAGATTCTGAAATATTTTTTAATCAGGTAAAGTGATTTCATTGTCTAATAGGTCTGTGGACATGTGTTTTGTGCTTTTTTTATTTTTTATTGAACCTACAGTAACCAAAGTATCTGCTGAGGATGATGGGTTGGCGCTGAATGTCGATGGAATAGGTGATGAGGAAGTTACCAAACCTGAAAATGGAGATCATCATGATAGTCCCCTCAAAGAGGATGTTCCAGAACATGCAAAGGATGCTGTCAAGGCAGTTAAAGCAGAGCAGACTAATGAACCATGTGCCAGCTCTAGTTCTGAGTCTGATCTCCAGGTAACAGCTGAAGTAGGAGCCATAAAAGAAATAAAACTTAAGTAAAATTAATTCTGTAAGCTCTATAGTTTTGGATCTCAATGGTATATTTTGCCTAAAGAAATCCTTTTACAAATCAAAGTATGAAAACATGATAGTTTAAAAAACATACTCAAAACTTAATTTTATTTCAGACAGTGTTTAAGAATCAACATCTCAATACAGAATCACAGACTGGCTGCAAACTTCAGGAGCTTAAAGCTAAGCATTTTATAAAGAAAGACACTGCCACCTTTTGGCCCCTGAACTGGCGTAGCAAGTTATGTACCTGCAAAGACTGTATGGTAAGTACCTGGTCAGGTTCAATGTTAGTTGTTTTGTGGACTGATGTCTAAAATAAGAACATTATATTTTCATATATTTATGAAAATCATGTGAGAAGTGTAAAGCTTAAAATTTTTTTAATTTATTTTTTTATTTGTTTCCATCACCATTTATCCACCCTGTGCTATACTCTTCCACCAAACATTTTTATATTAAGCAAATTTATGAAATAGTATTTACAGTCTAAATGGTTGTGGAAGAAATGCAGAATTATGCATTACTTTTTATTTACTTCATTTTAGTGGAAAAATAGCAATTCTTAGCTTTCTTATATCATAAAATTGCTTGAAACACAAATTGTTGAGAGTTACAGTAAGTCAGTGGTTTTTAAGTAAAGATCTCTTAGACCAGTGGTTCTCAACCTTCTGGCCCTTTAAATACAGTTCCTCATGTTGTGACCCAACCATAAAATTATTTTCGTTGGTACTTCATAACTGTAATGTTGCTACTGTTATGAATCGTAATGTAAATATCTGATATGCAGGATGGTCTTAGGCGACCCCTGTGAAAGGGTCGTTCGACCGCCAAAGGGGTCGTGACCCACAGGTTGTGAACCGCTGCCTTAGACCATACAGCACCTACTAGGAAGTTGAGAGATTTCTAAAAGAGATTTAGGCAAAAAAAAATAAAACACTCAAGCAACTCTGTGGGGAAAGGCTCAGGTTTTTCTGGCAGTTAATTTAAAAATAAATTTTCAGAGATTGACTGTGAAAATGGCATGCTGTTCTAATGGGGAAACTGGTTTTATTTTTTAAAGAAAATGTATGGCGATCTAGATGTCCTGTTCCTGACAGATGAATATGACACAGTTCTGGCTTATGAAAACAAGGGCAAGGTTGACCAGGCGGCTGGCAGGACAGATCCTTTAATGGACACCCTTAGCAGCATGAACAGAGTCCAGCAAGTGGAACTCATTTGTGGTAAATTCTGCTTGAGTGTGAAAATTCATGAAGTCCATAAAGTTTCCCTCACTATTGAAAAAAATAGATATGTAAGGAGAACAACTAATACCTTTTGTTTTAAAGTTTAAGTTTGGAATTGTATAGTAGACCTCAACTAGACTTGCTTAAGGGTAATGTTGCTGGGTATTTAGTTGCCATTATGGGTTACATGCTAGAATAATTCATGCTTAAGAAACCACAGCTTGTGTCTTAAGGGTGGGTGTGTGAGTAAAGAGTCCTAGAGAATCAATTTCTTTTCTCATCCAATGAGAAAAGAGCATTTCATTGAGCATTACATGTCATCTTTTTGACAGTTCCTGAGGTTGCGTCAGTGGCTCACAGACTCTTAATTGCAGGCTTTGACATGTTCCCCACAGCGTGCCCAACTTATGTTAGTGATTTCTGCCCCAGCCATTTTCTCCGGGGATGTCACCACCTGTGTGCCCCTTTTATGACATTGATTGTTTCTATCTTTTATTTGTAACTATTTGACTCCTTTTCCCATTATGAGGCTAAAAGCTTTTTGAGGATGGAGGCTGCAGCTAAATGATTTTTGTAGCCCTCCAGGTGCTTCATACATAATGCAAACTGTTGAGTGAACAAATTTTAAAACTTAATATTTGACAAATTTTCTTTTTAAAAGCAATCACTAATCAACTTTTTAAAAATAGATTTTTATTGATTTCAGAGAGGAAGGGAGAGATAGAAACATCAATGATGAGAGAGAATCATTGATCAGTTGCCTCCTGTACTGGGGATCGAGCCTGCAACCCGGGCATGTGCCCTTGACCAGAATTGAACCAGGGACCCTTCAGTCTACAGGCCAACTTTTGTCCACTGAGCCAAACCTGCTAGGGCAATATTGACAAATCTGAGGTGATTTCAAATATTAGAATTCCAGAGAGGTAGAAAACCCTTTTAAAATCCTTCGCTAATCTTTTTGGGAGTGAGGCGATCTCTGGTTTTTGAGCTTTTTTTGTTTTAATGAAGTATCATTTTTGATATCAAAATGAAGGAGTTTGGGGAACACATTTCTATGCAGGTTTCATTTAAAGAAAAATCAAAACTGTTAACTAAAAAATTTAAACTATTAACTAAAATTTAAATTCTACTCAAGTCGGGGAATAAAGAAATATTTTGTTTATAAAAGCCAATGGCCTATTTTGTTGTTTTGATTTAGAATATAATGACTTGAAGACTGAACTTAAAGACTATCTAAAGAGATTTGCTGATGAAGGCACGGTATGTTGAGTTAAAGAATTTTAATCATAGTCCTGTGTGTTTTGAATAAACTGTTTCTTTTCTTTGATAAAAAAGCAACAACATGCATCTTAAACTGGATACTTGAGAGTTTAATTCAGGCAGAGCTAACGGAAATCAATAAGAGGTGGTGAGACATCCACATTGGGCATCCTTCCCAACTGTAGGCCAGAAGGAATGGGGAATGAGCAGCCACACAGGATCTGGAGAGAGTGGTTGTAGCTTCAGAGAAGCCACTGGAGCTCTGAGCTACAGTCATTTCAGAGTGTTAGCCATTTAGATTTTGAATCTGTTAGGGGTTCTAATTCCTCATCAGTTGACCCACATTTTTACTTTCATGTAGAGGATTAATGTCTTTTTTTTTTCAAAATACATTCTTTTTTCGACTGATTTTAGAGAGAGAAAGGGGGGAAGAGAGAGAGAGTAAAATACATTGATTTGATTGCCTCCTGTATAGGCTCCGACTGGGGATCAAACCCACAATCAGGGTATGTGTCTTGACTGGGAATTCAACCCGCCACCTTTTGGTGTACAAGACAACGTCCCAACCAACCACTCGATCAGAGCATAAATACCTTACCACGGAAGTTCTTCCCGTTAGCACTCCATTTGCATGTGTTAGCAGCACTTACCCTGAGAGCGAGAAAGGGAGATTTTCATCTTACACACCTGTACCTCTCTCTCTTGCTCACATGCATTCGCTACTTCCTCCCTCATGCCCCACCTTCGTTTCTTCAGAACAATAAGCATGTGTTACCTTTGTAATTAAAAAGTAATTAACAGACCTGTCTTTTAATGGATGGCCCTTAGCTTTAGGTCAGATCACTGACAAGACTCACTCTTGGGTGAGCTGGGGCTTCGTCTGGGCTCTTCCAGTTTACTGTTGTCTTATTTTCTTACTTCTAATATTCTATTTTGCTTCTGTCGTAAACACCTTTGTATCATGCTCCAATCCTTTTTCCAGTAAAATGAAAGATACATTTTTCATTTTTTATTGCATAAAACGGATATCCATTTACTAAGAGTAGTGCTTCTGTAGTTTTTACCAATTATTTTTTTATTCATGTACAAGCATCTTTAATTTGGGACTCTTGAAGAGGTTAAAGTTTTCAGGCTCCTTTTTCTTCAGGAAAGAACACAAATCTGAAAACACTGCTGTTTTGTGGGTGCTTATTCAGAATGGAGGGACATTCCCCGGACAGTGGTGGAATGAGGGAGCAGTGGCTGAGGAGACCTTCCCGGTTCTCAGTCTTTGTCTGGCCCTGCCACTCTTCTTGCCAATCATTGAGAACTGACTGTGTGCTGGCAGTGTTCCACAGGCACCATACCTCATCCTCTCTCCAATGACCCTTTCACATTGGTGCTGCTTTTCTCTCATTTTGTACGAGGAAACCCAGTAAGGTGGTGGAACCTATGCTCAGCGCCTAATGCTATTCTGCCAGCTGTGTAATCTGAACAGGCCAGTCTCTGAGCCTGGATCAGTGGTCGGCAAACTGTGGCTCGGCAAACTGCGGCTCTCAAGCCACATGCGGCTGTGGCTCTTCCACAAAATACCGACTTCTGCGCATGGGCCACGAAGTTTCAATCGCACAGAACCGGTGCGCCCGTGAAAATGAGGCGCCCGCACACGTTTTTATTTAATCTCACGAAACCCGATTGGGAGGTTGGTATGGAGTTATGAGTCCAGTAACATTCCTACAAATGGGACTACCATGGCC